TGGCCCAACAACCAACAAGGGAAAAAAAAAAAAGAAGAAGAAGAAGAAGAAGAAGGACAGGAACTTGAGTGCAATCCCCTCACCCAATTTTCTTTGATTGCTGTGTGTTTGGGGCATAACCTCCCTCTGGCTTCCATATAACCTGGGTACAGTTGAGAACCGAACAACTCAACAGCAAGGCGGAATGCAGCAGCTGAGAGCAGAATTTCCAAAGCTCCTCAGGGAGGAATTGGCCTGGAGACAGGAGCATCCATCCTTGTTTATAGGGTTTAATTGCCAAGAGGGAGCAGATCTTGAAAGGGTCCAGGAGCAGGGGCGGGGTGGAGTGACAGCACAACAGTAAGGGCATTTGCCTTGCACTAGGTCAACCTGGGTTCGACCCCCAGCGTCCCGTATAGTTCCCTGAGCAGCACCAGGAGTCACCCCTGAGCACCCCTGGGTGTGGGCCCCAAACGAAAGCGTCCCAGAACCCTTCACTTATTTTTTGGTCTTTGGGTCACACCTGGCGATGCTCAGGACGGACTCCTGGTGGTGTTCAGGGGGCCCTATGGGATGCTGGAGATCAAACCCGGGTCAGCTGCATGCCAGGCAAATGTTCAAGCTGCTGCACTATCGCTCTGGCCCCGGGTGCAAGGACACTGGAGCGAACCATCTTTTCAGGGGTCTTGGAGCACTTTTGAATCATGTGTGTGAATTTTTCACCTGGAGCACAAGTGTGAGTTTCTCACCACCCAAGCCGGCAACAGGAGGGCCCCGTAACATCATGCCACAAAGGATACATCTTTGTACCCGGCTAACTGGGTGTAGGCCCTGTGTCCTGAAGCATTTCCCAGACCTTCCTGTTTTTCTCTACTGGGAACAAGTTTCTGTCCTTATGTCTGTCAAAAGCTTCTGTGGATCAGAGAGGTTTAGTGATAGACCCAGAGTAACACAGCAGCCTGGATCTTTATTTATTATGATTATTAGTTTTGGGGCCACCCCAAATGATGGTCAAGGGTTACTCCTGGCAGTGCTCAGGGGACCACAGGAGGTGCCAGACTTGGAACCTGGTTGGCCACATGTATAGCAAGTGCCCTTCCTGCTATACTATCTCTTCAGTGGCCTGGCCTTGATCTTTCACACTCAATTCAGTTTTGTTTGTTGGCTTGGTTTGGGGGCCACACCCTGGTTGCTGTGGAGGGTTGGTGGGGGTCACTTCTGACAGTGTTGGGGTTTCATGTGGTCCCTGGGAGCAAACCCTGGCTCCCCTCTGCATGTAGAGTCAGCACTTGTCCTGTCTTGTCACCGTGGCCCTCTAAAATTTAATTTTTATTATTATTGTTTTTTATTTATTTATTTATTTATTTTGGGAGGGCGGCACCTGGCACCACTCAGGGCTCCCTTCTGGTGATGCTCAGGGGACCATGCGGGGTGCTGGGAATTACATCAGGATTTGTGCAAGTCAAGATAGTACCCCAGGTACTGTCTCTCCAGCCTGTATTTTCGGTTTTAAAATATGATCTCAGGGAGTGAGGGGCCTGGAGTGATCGTTCAGTCGGGAGGGCACTTACCTGGCCTGGGAATGACCTGAGTTTGATCCCCAGCACCCCACAGGGTCGACTTGAGCTCCACCAAGGAGGAACCCTGAGTGCAGAGCCCGGAGTAAGCCCTGGACACCCACCGCCCCTCCCCCACCAAATTGGCTATCTCTGGGTCCAAGTGGGCATAGGGAGTAGTGGGGTACCACCCTGGCATATCAGGAAGTACCACCTCTCTCCTCCCTCCCTCAGGGTCCAGGAAAGGCCACCTGTATGCTGATGATCCTTTTCTGTTTCCTCAGATGTAAGTGACCTGCAGTGCAGGGCTAGTGGCAAGGGGCTGACGCTGGGTTCAAGGCCAAAAGGGCCCCCCAACCAAACCAAAACCAAAACCAAACAAACAAGAACAAAACTCCGGTCACTTAAGCCACACTCTCTGTCCTGGGTGGGAGGAGGCGTCTGTTCTTGCGGGGCCAAATAAATGATTAAGGCGGGAAAATGGGTGCAAGAGATTCCAGGCTGGGTGGTCCTGGCTCCCACAACTTAGCTCAGTGGGTGGGGTGAGCCGCCAACAGCCCCCCACACCCGTACCCTCCCGTGCACGCTTAGCCCTTTTGCAAAAGGCCCCCAGAGCTCTGGGTTATCTGCAGGAAGGCAAAAGTGCCCTGGGTTCAAAGCCCGGTTGTTATTTGACCAAGGCTGTTCCAGGCTGGTGCCAGGCAGGTTTAAGGAAGAAGCTTGAGTTCCATCCCCAGGCAGGGTCGTTAGAACAAAGTCCCCACAGGGCCCCTCCCTCAGTCCCTTCCCAGCGCCCCAGGGAGCTGGTTTCGGGTCTCTAGTCACTTCCCTTCTGGGGGCAGCCCTGGGTTTCCCCTTGCAGGGTCAATTCTCAGGACTACAGGGCGACAAAAAGGTGCTTTTAATCTGGCGTGGCAAGCGGCGATCTAGAGGGGTGTGTGTGTGTGTGTGTGTGTGTGTGTGTGTGTGTGTGCGCGTGTGTGTGTGACAGGGACGTGGGGGGGGGCGCCCCGAAGAACCAGGGGTGTCCCCTTCACCTGACTGCAGCGAGCTTCCAGCCTGGATGTTAGCAAGCTGGGGCAGAGTGACATTCAGCATCTATGAGCTGGAGAATGGTCCGCGGGCAGGTAAACAGGACCGGGGACAGAGCCAGCCTCCTCGGCAAAGCGCTCAGAGAGCAGGTACCAGCCTGCTTTGGGAAAGGAGAAGGGGGAAACTGAGGACCGGAGCGCGCGCGCGCGAGGGTGGTTGGGGGAGCGCCCTTAAGCAGGCGGCGGATCCGGGGCCGGGCCATGCCGTTTTCCCCGCGGTCCCCTCCCCCTGGCCCCCGCCGGACCTCTCCCACGACCGGGAGGAAGTGGGAGAAATGGACAGGGGAGAGAAAAAAAAAGAAACCCTCATAGACACAAGAAAACTTAGGGCTGAGTCAACGCGTCCCCCCTCCCCACCGCCGCCCCGCGCGCATCCCGCAGACCCCCGCGTCCGGGGCAGAGACGCGGCATGGGGGCCCTCCGGGTGGGTCCCCACGCCTCCCCCCACCTCCCGGCCCGCCCCGCGGGGGCCCCGCAGTTGGGTGGGGGAACCCGGCGAGCCGGGAAAACAACCGCCCCGCCCGCCCCTCGCCAACCCCTTCCCCCCCACGCCCCTGCCGCGCCGGGCGGGCGGAGGCGACTCCTTTATATAATCGCGGGCGGGCAGGTTGGCGGTTGCATGGGGGGACCCGCGAGCCCAGCAGCGCGCCCCTCGAAAGCCAGCCCCCCACTCCGAGTCCCCGGGCCCTCCCGGGTAAACCGAGGCCGGGGTGGGGCTGGAACCGCGTCCCCGCCCCCGCCCCGCGTGCGCCCCCCACCCCCGCCCCGCGCGCCCGCAGCCGGGGCAGCCGCGACCCACGCCCGCGTGGCTCGGTCCTGGCACTGCGCACCAGCCCTCCCCGCCCCCGCTGCCATCCTGCCACGCCCCAGGGCGTCGGGGGCAAAGCCCGCAGCCCCCAGCCCTCCCCCACGCCGGGCCCTGCGCAGGGGCTGGCTGGGGGGCAGTTTATCTGGAGGCCCCCACCGCCCTCCCCACCCCGGGGGGCCCGCTCTCTCCACCCCCACCCCCGCCCCGCGCCCCGGGGAGCTCTGGGGCCAGATAAGCTGGCAAACTGGCACGGCGCCGCGCCGCGGGGCGGAGAGGTCAGAGGGGGGGGCGCGCCGGGGGGGCGGGCTGGGCCCCCCCGCCCCGCCAAGTTGACAAAACCTAATAACAGCCCGGTCTCCCCGGGCGCAGCGGGCGAAGCCCCACGGGAGGGCAGAGACGTGGCGAGAGTGTGGACCTGCCGAGCCTGTTCTGGCCGCCGAGGCCCGGGTGGGGGGGGCGGGCTGGGCGTGGGGTGGGGGGGGCCGGCGGCTGCGGCACCTTTAAGACAAGGGAGGACCCCTCTTGCCCTCGGAGAAACCAGGAAGGGAGTCGCGAGCATCATACGGGGCTTTGGCTGTACTGTACAGTTACTGTAGGGGCAGTGACGCCGCCGCCGCCGGAGCGAGCGAGCGACGCGGGGAAAGCGAGCGCGGGGAGGGGGCAGAGGGACGCGGACGGACCCCGCAGGCGAGCGGCCGACGAGCCCCGTCCCCAACTCCGGGCCCGGCCCGGCCCCGGCCCCGGCCCCGCGAGGTAAGTCAGCGCCCGGCGCCGGGTGCAGGGCGGGGACCGGGCCGGGGGGGCGCTGCGCCCACCCCGGCTCTCTCGCGCCCGCGGGGGAGAGTCGGGGTGCCGGGGACGTTCCGCAAGTTTCAGAGGAGCGGGGGTGGCTCTGGCAGCTGCCGGGAGGCTCGAAGCCCCCCGGGTCCCGGACGTGTCGAGGGGGCGCCGCCCGGGAGCAGGGGGAAGAGATCGGGGGCGAAGTGCACGGGCTGCGGGGCCGGCGCCCCCCCAGCCCGGTCACCCGCCTCGCCCCCGGGTGCATGGCTCTTCGGGGCGCCTAGGGCGCGCGGGGAGCGGGGGAGGGGAAGCGGGGCTGCATTGAGTGAGGGGGGAGCCGGCGTGGGGCGAGAGGGGGGCGCGTCGCGTGTTAAGTTTGCAGCGGAGTACGGGGGGCGCTCCTGTTCTCCCCCCACCCCCCGGGGGCCTGTTCGATGCTGCGTGCATACGTTGGAGTTGGCCAAGATTGAGCTCCGTGGGGGATGGGGGGGAGGGGGCTGAAAAAACAGGGAGGGGGGCTTTGCCGGGGAGGGGGTAGGGGTGGGGTGTCCGGGTCCGGGTGGGCGGGCGGGGCCGCGGGGCCGTCTGGGCGTCGTAGTCCCCGTGACGCTCCGGGCGGGCAGGTGGCCGGCGCGCCGGACTACAAGTCCCAGGGTGCCGCGCGCCGGCGGCTCGCGGGTAGGGGCGGTGCGGAGGAGGGGCGGTGAGCGGCGGGCCGCCCAGCCAATGGGGCGCGGGCTGGTCGCGCGGCGCGGCGCGGGGGCGGGCCCGGCCGGCCCGGGGGCGGGGCCTGGAGCCGGGCTTCCCTCGCCGGGGGCCGGTGGCGGTCCCCGGCTTCCGGCTGCGCGGCCCGCGGGCCGGCCCCCTCCCCGCCCCGGGGCCCCTCCCCGCCTGGTTGTGTAACCGTCCCCAGCCCCCCTCCCCTCGGCCCCCCGTCCCCGGGGGGAAGGCGGGGGGCGCGCTGTCACCCACCCGGTGCTCCCCCGGGAGGATGGCGGCCGGGGCGGCCGCACGGCGCAGGCGAGCCCGGGGATGCGCGGCCTAGTGCAGGCCGGGCCCGGGCGTGGGGGAGGCGGGCGGGCGGACCCAGATCCGGGGTAATTTGCATCGCCCTCCCCCCAGTCCGGGTGGGGATTGGCCGCCGGCGGCGGGGGGTGGCGCGGGGCCAGCTCACTGCCGCCTCCCGGCCCCTCGGAGGGAGCCAGCCCAGCCGCAGCCGCCGCCACCGCCGCCGCCGGGGCCGGGCTCCCTCGCCGCTGCCCCGGGAAGGAGGTAGGAGCCCCCCGGGCGCGAGCGGGCGGGCGCTGCGGGGGCCGCGCGCGCTGGTGCCGGGGCGCGGGGGAGGGGGCCGCTTCCTGCCCCCGCCCGGGCCTGACTCAGCCCTGGGTGGGGGGACCGGCCTGGCCCCTCGTCCTGCCCGCGCGCGGCCGCCGGCTCCGGCCCGCGGGGACTGTTGGAGGGTGGGGGGAGCTAGACCGCGGAGCTGCCTGCCCCCCCCGCGCCCCCCGAGCGCGTGACCCCGTCTCCTCTGGCCCGGACGCCCCCCCCCCCCCTTCCCTTGACGCCACCACCACGTGCGAACCCGGAGCCCGGGCAGTGGAGGGGGTGAGCGGTCGCTGGTGGGATCCGGTCCCCCCACCGCTTCCCCGTCCCGGGAACCGGTCCCCCTCCCCCAGCCGCGGGCCGGGGAGGCAAGCGGGGTGCTAGCGGTGGTGTTTTTTTGGGGGGGCGTTGCTGAGCGGGTGCGTCGCGGCGGCGGCCCGGTGCACCCCGCCACCCCGCCGGGCACCCGCACCCCGTGCCCGGGCCTTTGCGGCTTTCTGGGCGACTGAGCCCGCGCGGGCTGGACCGCAGCACGGGACTGGCCGGTCCCGTCCAGGCCCGGACACCCACGTCAGTGTTTTGGGGAATGCAGCCGGCACTTGGAGGAGCGCGGCCGGGGTGGGGGGAGGCCGGCCACTCGGCGGAAGTGAGAGCCCGTGCCCCTGCCCCGGGCGTGCCCACCTGGCTCACCCATGGGTGCCGGGGTTTTGCTTGGCTCCCTCCCCCCCACAGCCCTCTTACACGCCCCGCCAGCTGCCTCGGGGAGCGAGCGGGGCTGGCCCTGCAGAGCGGGCGTCCCGGCCCCGTGTCAGGCCCCCCCTCCCCAGCGGGGCCAGGGCGTAACCCTGAGCTCCGCCGCGCCCACTCTGGGGGGCCCTGCCCTCCCCGGCTCGGCCCGATCACTTCCTATTGGCAGAGTCGGGCGGGAGCGGGCGCGGGGCGCCAGGGCAGGCGCAGGCCCTCCCTGGGGCACCAGGCAGGGGGCACTGTCCCCAGAGGGCCACCCCAGTGGGGCTGGGCTCGGGGCTCTGTTTACAGCCAGCCATCGCTGTGGTGACGAGCCTGGGGGAGGGGGGGCGGGCGCCCGGTGGTGGAACCCTGGGATCCTCATCCCTCGCGAGGGAAAGGAGAGCTACCTTGGGCACTGAAATTTTAATTCATGGGTCACTTTGGGGGGGGGGGTTGTACGTGTTATTCCGTTCTGATTGGCTGCCGGGGTGATCAGTCAGCGCCCTGGCCCTGGCTGGGGTGCCATGAAGCAGAGGGGGCCCCCCTGCCCAGAAAGCAAGGGCGGGCAGGCAGCCCAGAGCTTGGTTGCATGCATCCCTTTCTCTCGGTTGGGGAGACTGAGGCTGGCCGGTGGGGGAGGCGGCCCGACCGTGGTGTGGGCTTGGATCCGTCAGTTCTGGTCCGCTCCTTGGGCCCCCCTTAGCTGGTTCAGGCTGCTGGCAGGCCACCCCCCCTCCCTGGACCTCACCACCTGGCAGATGAAGAACTGAAGCCTCCCCGCTCCAAGTGCTCTGGGGGGCTGAGGACCCGTCTCTGGGGGTTCGTAGGCAGAAACCTGGGGGCAAGCACTGAGCGGCGCAAGGTCACGTGCAGCGGGGGGGCTGTCCCCCTGTGCTCCTGCCGCTTCTCAGTCGTCACCCCTGTCACTGCGCAGGGCCACTTGCCCATCCCTTGTCCCCTCTGAGGCTGAGCGCGGGCACCTGTCGGCCCCAGGGAGCCTCCATGGGGCTCAGGAAGTGCCGGGCCGGGCAGCCAGGCCTGTGTGGCTCAGAGAGGGCCAGCGAGGTGCCAAGGTCACACAGCAGGAACTGCTGGTGCGTCCCCCTGTGCACTTCCCCCTCACCTGCCACTTTGGTCTCCGGAGACCAGGGCTTAGGGACCCGGGTTTGCAGGAGCCCTGCGACCTTCCCCCAGTCCCCTGGCCCCGAAGGAGGGGCTCCTGCCGGCCACAGATGGCCTCCGTGTCCCTGCCAGCCTCCCCCCACCCCCCCACTCAGTGAAAGCGGCAGAACCTGGGTCAGCTCAGGCCACGCCGGCCCTGCCGGAGCGTGTCGCAGTCTGTCCAGTCCGCTGGCACCCCCACCTGTCACCCGGTGCAGCCCTGAGTGGCCGAGACCCGAGGGGCAGCTCCGAGGGCCCTCGCCTGTCCCCGAGGTTCGCCTCAGGGAGTCCCCCCTCTGCCCTCTGCTTCCCTGTGACCCCAGGGCAAGGAGGGGGGCCTGTCTGCCCTGGGGCGAAGGCCTCAGGAGGGCCCCTGCTGGTGCCTGGGGCACCGGGGGACAGGGAAGGAAAGGGCCCCCGGGCAGGGCCGGGCAGGAGAGGAGGGTTCCCTGGCCTGGCCAGGATGGAGCCCGCACACCTGTGCTCCCAGCCAGCTCTGCGCTGGGCAGCCCAGACACCCTCTCTGATCCTGCCTGTACCTAGGAGTGGGGGAACCTGGGACCCCAGTCGCCTTCCCCGAGCGAGGGGGTCGGTTCTTATGTGACGGTGGCTGTGCCCACCCCCCCCCCCCCATACCCCCAGCAGACTGTGGACGGCCACTGGCTCCCCACCCAGGTGGTTCTGGTTTGACTGGAAAACAAGACCTCATCCCCCGCCCCCATCAGGCAGGGTGTCTGAGGGGAGGGGATGGGCCAGGATTTGTGGGCTCAGCAACCTTGGGGCCCCCACCGGCCAGGGAGTGCCCCTTTGTCTGGGCCAAGCCCTCCACCTGCTCTTGCTGGGGGGCGGGGGCGGTGCAGGTGAGAGCCGGGCCTGGGGGCAGGGAGGAAGTCGGCCTCTGCAGGGCCCCCCCCCCCCCCCCGCAGGTGCAGCCTCCGTGCGGCTCTGCTCGCCCGCCTGCCCGCCCCGACGGGACCCTCCGCCCTGATGTGGCATCGCCGGCAGCCCCGGGGACTGTGTGTGTGCTTTCGCTCTGGTCTTCGGAGCTCTTGGGGGGTGTGAGCAGAGTTGGGAGGAGGGGCGACCCAGATGGGATTCCCGTGACCACCCCCCACTTCCCACCGGCCCCCCCAGCCTTCCTGCCTCGGGCCCTTTAAGGCCCCGGGCAGGAAGCCCCTCCCCACTGAGGGCAGTAAGTGGCCACTGGGAAATGGCCGGAGCCGGGGCCTTGGGCTCTCTGGGCCAGGCAGCTGGCAGCCACCCTGCGCCCGTGGGTGCCCCCTGCTCCCCCGGCCGGGACGCTGCATTCCTGTCCCATTAAACCCCAGCTCGGGGACCGGGGCCAGGCGGAGATTGGCACCAGGTCAGGGCGGGGTAGCCCGGCGGAACCAACCTTGCCCAACGCGGGCCGCCAGGCTGGGAGGGGGCGGGGGCCTGGCAGCTGCACCTGGGCACCAACCTGCTGTGTCACCTTGGCCCGGCCGCCCACCCTCTCTGGGCCCGCCCCCCCCCACGAATGGGCTGGGTCTGTCTGAAGGGGAGTAGCTCCGGCCCCCCACCACATCCCCCAAGGTCACGCGGTTTGGGAAGTGGCTTTGAGCCCTCCCCGGGCAGCCCCTCCATGCAAGCATGGCGTTTCCTCTGTGTGATGTTGGGGGCAGGCAGTGCTCAGCCCCAGGCTCCAGTGGGGGAGGGTCCTCGGCAAGTTGCAGCCCCCCCAGGTGCCCGCCTGAGTTCCTCTGTGCCCACACCACTTCCCCTCGCACGCCCCTCAGGGCCACGCCACGGTCCCCCTCCACTCACTGCGTCGTGGGTGCTGCGGGTGGGCCCCAGAACGAGGCACCCGGGGTGCTGTGTGACCTCGAGCGCTCAGCACACCTCCCTCGTCTCCGCATGTGCTCGCGGGGGATGCAGACACGGTTCAGCAGCCAGGGTGGGGCTCGCGAGGGAGGCGGCTAGAGTGACCCCTGATTCTCGCTGCGGTGGGACCGGCTGCCTTACCCAGGCCGGGTGTGCCCGGTGGCCCGGTGGGCAGGGCTGGGCGTGGGCGCCTTGGTCTTTGGTCCCTGCTGTGTGTCAGTGGGTCGTCTGCTGGGGAGCAGAGGGGGGCCTGGGAGCGGCCGAGGGAGGGAGAAGGGCACCCCACCTCTAGCCCAGGAGGGGCCTGCCGAGGCCTGCCCCTCGGCCGCCAAGTCAGCACCAGCAGCGCCCCGGAAATCCCAGGGCGGGTGGTGGGGGCTGGGCTGTGGTAAAAGGTGAGGGGTGGGTGGGGGGCCGGAGGTGCTGCTTACTGCCCACTGCACCCCGGGGTCCCCCGCCCTGGGGGGGGTTCCATGACCCTGGCGAGGTTGGCAGGTGTCTGGGGGCTGGGGGCACTGGATGCCCGGACCGGAGCTCCACGTCCCTGGACCCGGGCCTTGGGCTTCTCCGAACCCCACCTACGGCTTTCCTTGCCTGGCGCCTTCCAGGACTGTCATCTGCGGGGAAACAGAGACTGGAGCTTGGGTCCCGCCCAGCCCTGCCAGGAGGGCGCTTTGCACCTGGAGTCGCCGCCCAGCCTTGGGGAGACCCAGGCCCCGGGGTTGCGGGGCGGGGACGAGTCACCTGGCCCTTCTCGGGATTCCAGGGGAGCCCCCGAAGTGGCCCTCTCCGGCGCGGGTGCTGGGGCTCAGCGGCAGGGCGCAGGGCCGGGCCTGAGGCCGCGGCAGGACTGAGGCGGGTCTCTCCCGCAGCCCCAGCTGCCCACTCGTTCCCCGGGGCTCGGGGCCAGACGGCAGATGGTGGCGGGGAGGGGCGGGTGGGCACCACCCTCGGGGGCTCCTCGGAGGCTGCCGCCCCCTCCTGCTCCCGGCAGCCGCATCCAAGCAAACCCCGTAGCGTCCCCCCCACCCCCCACCCCACCTCACTGCAGAGGCTGGCGGCAGGCAGGGCCCCCCGCTCCCCCCCTGCAGCTGGTGCATCTCCAGGGAAGGGGAGGGCGGGCCAAGGAGCGAGGCATCCTGGGAAGTGTAGTCCTGCCCCGGTGTGGCACAAAGGCCCTGCCCCAGTGTGGCGCGAAGCCCCGCCCCAGTGTGGCGCAGAGCCCACGCCTGGACCCGAGTCCTCCCCACCCGCAACCCTCGGGCACCTGGGCCCCGGTGGGCCCCGCTTGGACCCCCGCTCAGCAGCCACCTGCCTCCAGGCTGGGAGGGGGCGGACGGGACTGGGTGGGAGGGTGTGGTGGCGGGAGGCTGGGGCGCCCTAGCCCCTCACCCCCGGGGCCTTAAGCCCAGCTCCTGACCCCGGTGTGTGGCCCCAAGGAATGTGGGCTGTGCTGGGTGGTTTGGGGCAGCGGGGCTCCCCCGAGAGGGCGGGACTGGAGCCAGCGGGTTGCACAAGCTCTGGAGTGGGCGGATGAGTCATGGCCCGGGGAAGGCGGAAAGAGGGAGGGGGGCCGTGGTGCGGGCTGGTGTCCCCCCCAGGGCCCGGCCCATTTGACAGACGGGGAGACTGAGGCTCAGGCAGCTGCCAGCCAAGCAGCAGCTCCCTGGGCACCACAGGCACAAGCTGGTCAGGGGCAGTGATGGGGAGGTCCCCCAACTCTCTGGACCCACTTGGGGTGCACGGGGCAGAGAAGAAGACAAATCTTGCGCTTACTGTCCCTGCACCCCCACTCCGACACCCTGTGACCCCCAGGTGGGTCCTTGACCCCTTTCCTTGCTGCTGACCCAGTGCCCCTGTACCCTGCCCCCTTCCTAAGCTCCCCATTGGGGGTGAGGGTTCTGGGAGCCACAGGAGCCGCCCTTGAGCGCGGGCTGTGAACTCTCACTGGGTGGGGGTATGGTGTGTGTGTGCGTGTGTGAGACATTTCTCTTCCCGGTTGCTGACGCAGAGCAGGACGGAGCGTGTGGGGGAAGCTGAGGCTGGGACACACCTGAGCCTCCTGGGGAGACCAAGGCCTCCCCGCCCTGGGTCCCCCAGCCCACCTCACCCCGCCCCTCTGGCCCCACAGGTGTCGGCGCGGAAAATGGCCGGCGGCGTGGACGGCCCCATCGGGATCCCCTTCCCGGACCACAGCAGCGACATCCTGAGCGGGCTGAACGAGCAGCGGACGCAGGGGCTGCTGTGTGACGTGGTGATCCTGGTAGAGGGCCGTGAGTTCCCCACGCACCGCTCCGTGCTGGCGGCCTGCAGCCAGTACTTCAAGAAGCTCTTCACGTCGGGCGCCGTGGTGGACCAGCAGAACGTGTACGAGATCGACTTCGTCAGCGCCGAGGCCCTCACCGCGCTCATGGACTTCGCCTACACGGCCACGCTCACGGTCAGCACGGCCAACGTGGGCGACATCCTGAGCGCCGCCCGCCTGCTGGAGATCCCCGCCGTCAGCCACGTGTGCGCCGACCTGCTGGACCGGCAGATCCTGGCGGCCGACGCGGGCACCGACGCTGGGCAGCTGGACCTCGTAGACCAAATGGACCAGCGCAACCTTCTGCGGGCCAAGGAGTACCTCGAGTTCTTCCAGAGCAACCCCATGAACAGCCTGCCCCCCGCCGCCGCCGCTGCCGCTGCCGCCGCGGGCTTCCCCTGGTCGGCCTTTGGCGCCTCCGACGACGACCTGGATGCCACCAAGGAGGCCGTGGCGGCCGCCGTGGCCGCCGTGGCCGCGGGGGACTGCAATGGGCTGGATTTCTACGGGCCAGGCCCCCCCGGTGAGCGACCCCCGGCCGGGGACGCGGATGAGGGGGACAGCACCCCGGGCCTGTGGCCGGAGCAGGACGAGGAAGCACCCGGTGCCAACGCCGCCGTGGCCGCTGCCGCGGGCCTCTTCCCATCGGGTGCCACGCAGAACGGCCACTACAGCCGGGCGGGCGGGGAGGAGGAGGCGGCCTCGCTGTCCGAGGCGGCCCCGGAGCCCGGCGACTCCCCGGGCCTGCTGGGGGGCGGCGCTGACGGCGAGGACGGCGACGGGCCGGACGACGGGCTGGCGGCCAGCACGCTGCTGCAGCAGATGATGTCGTCAGTGGGCCGGGCGGCCGCGGCCGCCGGGGACAGCGACGACGAGGGGCGGTCCGACGACAAGGGTGTGGTGGACTACTACCTGAAGTACTTCAGCGGCGCCCACGACGGCGACGTCTACCCGGCCTGGTCGCAGAAGGTGGAGAAGAAGATCCGCGCCAAGGCCTTCCAGAAGTGCCCCATCTGCGAGAAGGTCATCCAGGGCGCCGGCAAGCTGCCTCGGCACATCCGCACGCACACGGGCGAGAAGCCCTACGAGTGTAACATCTGCAAGGTTCGCTTCACCAGGTGAGCCTACGGGAATGTCGGGGCCGGGGAGCCTGGGCGGGGGGGGGGGGGCGCGTGCAGGCGCTCTCTAGGCAGCCCCCCCGGGAGTGATGTTCCCTGAGCAGAGCCAGGAGTCGGCCCCAAGCCCTGCCAGGCTGGAGTGCCCAGAAACCACTCTGCAGAAGCCCAGGCGAGAGCACAGCAGGGAGGGCCCTGGCCTGGCATGCGGCCGGCCAGGGTTCGATCCCTGGCCCCCCTTGGGGATGCCCTGAGCCTCGCCAGCTGTGGCCCCCAAACGAAAGCCAACCTCCAAAAAACTACCAAACCACAGAGTAGTAGCCAAGGCCACACGGGTGCCTGCTTGCTGCGTGGGGGCCCCGCTGTTGGCTCCCTAGAACGGCCTGTGGGGAAGAGCAGGGTCCGAAAGGGGGATCCCAGAGGGTGGAACCCCAGGGAGCTGCGCCAGTCTCAGGGCCCTCAGGAGAGGGAGACTTCCCCCTGGGGGTGGGGCAGCCTCACCGGGGTGCAGGAGAGCAGGGCCGGGCTGGACCTGATGGAGCTGGTGTCCATTGATAACGTTTGGTGGGACGGGAGCAGGGGTGGGGGAGAGAGAGCAGGGAGTGGGCGGGGCCCCCGACCCCCCCCAGTGATGGGGTGAGGGAGGAAGAGGGGGAGGTGAGGCTCGGCCGGGCGGAGGCCCTGGGCTCGCGGGTCCGGCACAGGGGGACCCAGTGGCTGTGCTGGGGCGTCCACCTCCGTGTGCAGGGTCCAAAGGTGGTGGGCTGGGCTTGGTGGGGTGCAGATGGGCGGGCCGGGGGTGGCAGGGCTTGCCTGGTGACTCAGCATCACCCCCCGTCCCCCGCCCGCCCGCCTTGGGGTTCCCCGAGCCACGCCCACCTCGGGTGAAGAAAGAGGCCATTGTCCCCGCTTTCCCAGGCCCGGCCGGTGGGAGACAAGCTCCGGACTGACCCCTAACCTCCGGCCTCCCCCTGCCCCTTCCCAACAGGCCAGGCGGCTCCCCGAGCACCCGAGAGGTGGGCTGAGCCTGCCTGCGTCAGATGGGCAGTGGCTGCTTTGTGGGGGTGTGGGACCTTCGCACCTGGGGTAGGCCCTGGGTGAGGCCTCGGGGGTCTGCAGAGGAGACCCCACCACCCCCAGGACCCCTCCTCAGAGGCTCGGGTTCATTCTGACCCAGGGTTCTCTCCCCTGCCCACTGGGTGCTCCCTGGACCATGCAGGGAAACTGAGGCCGAGAGCGGGGTGCCGGGCCGCCGCCTCCCACGCACCCCTACCCCCCAGCCTGCTCTCCTGGCCGGGGCGGGTGCCCAGGGGGCCCCGTGACTCACCCGAGAGTTGAGTAAGCGGGGGCCTGTGGCGTCTGGGGCTATAATTACCCGGGCCGGGGCTCGAGGTGACGAAACCGGGCTGCTCCATGCAGCCCCCGACCCGCCGGCCGTGCCCCCTCTCCCAGCTTCTGGCTCCCGAGAGCCCGAGTCCCCACTGGGGTGGGATTGGGGGGGACGGGACGTACCTGGTGCAACCGAGAGGCTGCAGGAGCTGGGGGTGGGGGTGGTGTCCTCCAGCTGCCCCACGCACCTCTGCCTGCCCAAAGAGCCCGCTGGTCCAGGGAAGGACCCCAGAGATGGTGCGGTCATCAGAGGGGTGTGGGTCTGTGTGCCCGGAAGGCACCCGGGAGGGTCAGCAGTCGTGGGGGCAGTGCCGATGGGTGGGGGCTTGGAAGAAACCAGGGAGAGCAGAAGGGAGTACTGTCACTATTTCGGAGGTGGGAGCCGTGTCCTGGAAGCAGGGGCATTGCAGACGGTGCTTTGAAGGATGAGTAGGAGTTGGTTGGCCCCCTTCCCGAAGAAAGTCTTTTTCTAGGGGAAGGGTGGTTCGGAAAGGACATGGAGGTCAGGAGGCTGTTGGTGTTGGTGCTGGGCAGAAGCAGGCTGGGTGGCAGTAGTTGGGGAGTCCAGGGTTCCAGGAAGAAGTCCACCCCCGTGACTAGTGGCCTGAGCCCACTGCACCAGGAATACCCGGAGAATCCCAACCCTGTTTCTTCACTTGTTTGTTTGTTTGTTTTGCTCTTGCCTGGGAGCCACACCTAGCAGGGCTGTGGGCCTGTCTAGCTCATTGCCAGGCCGGTGCCCCCCGCCCCCCCCCCACGCAGACCTGGGTTTCTCTGCAAAGCCTCCACGGCCACCACCCGCCCAGCAGCAGGTGCGGCTGTGTTTTTTTTTTGTTTGTTTGTTTGTTTGTTTTTTTTTGGCTTTTCTTTTAGGGAAAGGCCCAGGTGAAAGTCATTTTACATTTTGGCGTTTTCTGATGTCCAGTCCCAGCCTTAGGGCCTCCGGAGAAGCCCCGGGGGGCGTGGAACACGGGTTGTGTCCCTGCTCTGCTGGGCGCACAGAAATGACAGGGAACTTTTACTCCATCTCTGGCCTGTGGATGTTCTAGAATCCAGGCTGCAGGCACACGTCAAGGGCTCAGAGCTCCTGTGGCCAGTGATGGCCATCAGGGCCAGCCAGTGTGGAGAGGGTGCCTGGCGGGGGACGCTGAAGGTGTCCGGGCCGGGTGGACGGGGGGGAGCCCCCAGTTCTCTGCCCTCTGGGTGGGCCTGCGGAACCCCTGGTTCTTTCCGGACCTTGGTGTCTTGGGACTCAGTTATAGTCGGAGAGACTGGTTCCCACGAAGGTGGGAAATCAGATGGTGGTGGGGAGTGGACAGTGACAGGTGGCGTTGTCCCCGGGGTTACCTCAGCCTGGAGCTGCCCCCAGCACTGCTGGGTGTGGCCCTAAAAACAACAGGAGAGAGTCAGATGGGGATGGAGGTGGGGCTGTGGACACAGGTCCTGGAGGGCCCCTGGTGGGAGGTGACATTTGAGCCAAAAACTGTTTGTTGGGGAGGATCTAGGCAGAAGCTGTCTCCCGCGCAAAGGCCCTGGGGTGGGCTGGTGGTTGGGAACCCAGGTGGCTCCCGGGAGGGGCTGTGGGGAGATTTCCAGCTCTTCCCTGAACTCTGTTTTCAGAGACTGGGGGCTCTCTGGGCGGGCCGACCCCTTCTGGGCCTGCAGGGCCCCCTCCACTCCTCTTTGACTTCCAGAGTGCTCCCTGTGGGCGCTGCTGGGGGAGGAGCTGGGGCTGGTGCCTGTCGTTCACCTGGTCAGACCAGGGGCCACCTTTCCTAGTGTAGCCGGGGTCACCATCCTCTGAAACCCCCCTCCCCCTGCCCTGGCTGGTTCCGGGAGGAACCAGCCCTGGGCGTGGAGGGCGGGGCTCCAGGGTCGGTCGCTGGGTCGCTCGCGTGGGAGCCTGCCTCCCTCCCGCCCACCCACCTCTGCCCCCTCGCCCCCGCAGGCAGGACAAGCTGAAGGTGCACATGCGGAAGCACACCGGGGAGAAGCCCTACCTGTGCCAGCAGTGCGGCGCGGCCTTCGCGCACAACTACGACCTGAAGAACCACATGCGGGTGCACACGGGCCTGCGGCCCTACCAGTGCGACAGCTGCTGCAAGACCTTCGTGCGCTCCGACCACCTGCACAGACACCTCAAGAAGGACGGCTGCAACGGGGTGCCCTCGCGCCGCGGCCGCAAGCCCCGCGTGCGCGCCGCGGGGGCGCTGGGGGGCCCCGAGCCGGCGCCGGGGGGCCCCGCGCCGCCGCCGCCGCCGGCCCCCGACGGCATGGCCGATGCCGACGACGACCCCCACCCCCCGGCTGCGGCCACGGCCACGGCGGCGGCGGCGGCGGCGGCGGCCACGGGGGCAGCGGCGCGTCGCAACGGGCAGGAGAAGCACTTTAAGGACGACGAGGACGAGGACGAGGACGCGGCGGGCAGCCCCGACGACAGGTCGAGTGCGGGGGGCGGCGGAGCGGGGGGCGCCGCCGGGGGCACGGGGGCCGCGGTCGGACTCGCCTGAAAACCAAAAACAAACAAAGCGAAAAACAACAAAATGCTCCCGCCCCTCCCCCCAAAATACCCCGAGAGAGATGGAGAAAAAACCAACACAAACCCACCACCACGCGGACACGCCCCCAGCAGAGCGAAGTGAGCGCGTCACCCCGCCCGCCCCCCGAATCTATCTATATAGACATCTATATCTCTATATATATATACACAGATATATATATATATATATATATGACTCTACAGGATCTAGGGTAGCGCTTCCCAGCCCCTCGCCCGGCCTCTGCCTCCGCACCCGCAGACCCCGCCCGCACTTCCTCGCACCCGCCCGTGGGTCTGGGGGCTGGGCCAGGTTGGGGCCCTCAGGGGCTGAAGGGTTCGAGCCTCCGTCCCCTCGCCCGCCTCCTTCCCACCGCCCGGCCACCCCAGCAGCCCGGGCCTGGAAGCGGGGGCGGGGCGGGGGCGGGGCGGGAGGGGCTGTGCATGGGGTGGGGTCCCCTCCCTGGCTCTTCCCGCGACCTGCCATCCGCGCTGGTTTGTATGTGTCTTTCGGATGAGACTTTAAACGATTTCTGTCTGTCTGCTGTGAGCAGACGTTAAAAAGGCCTCCCCCGCCCCCGCCCCTGGAACCTGCCCCCCTGGGCCCCACCCTCCTTCCTCAGGGCACTTAACTAAAGGGGGGTCTCACCCCTCACTCACAGCCTCCCCGCACCCTCCCCCGGCCACCCCCATCCCTGCCTGTGGCCTCTTGTCTGTCCTGGCCACTGCCACACAAAGCTATTTATTTCCGGGTGTGGGGTGAGGGTGGGGGCGGGCAAGGGGTGCTGGGTGGCTCCCAGGGGCCCAGCTGCACTTAGAAACGGGGATGCCCTAGAGCAGGGCCCAAGACGCCCCCTCCCCCACCCCACAGCCACCCCCCTGCCCCCTCACCCCAAGCCCCAGGCCACCTAGGGACCCCCAACCTCCCCACAATACGTTTGGCAATGAATTCAAAACTGGCCGTTCTTTCCCGCCCCGGCCCCCTTCCAGTTTTTTAAAGCACTTTTTTAGATTTGTTTCCCTTTTTTTTTCCTCCTTTAAAAACAAAAATTTATATATAGATATAAATATATATATATATATATATATTAAAAACCTCTAGTTTTCCTCAGAGGCCCAGTACCTGAGGTGGGACCCGGGGGGCGGGGGGGGGGCTCCCCGCCCGTCCCCGCGTTCCAGCGGCAGGGAGGAAGGCGCAAGGCAGATGCGATGTCATAGAAACAGACAAAAAGCAATAAACCAGCCACCACCAGATGATTGAGAGGAGGGAAAAAAAAAACCAAACAAGCAAACACACAAAAAAACCAACAACAACAAAAAGATCCGAACCAAAACCGAGGCAGGCCACCGCCAGTAAAAGTCTTGGCACTTTGTAACTGAACGGGTACTTCTATGTTCATTCTTAATTTAAAAAAAAAAAAAACACACATGTTTACAAGTTGCAACCAACTTCTATGAAAAGTCTGTAAAGACAAAAAAAAAGAGATGAGAGAGAGCGAGAGAGTGAGAGCGCAGATTCCTAAAAAAAAAGAAAACATACAAAAAACCGCAAAAAAAAAGTCAATTTATTTTTGTACAAAATAATAAAAAAACAAACCCACCGCACAGTAGAATCCACTTCTGTTCCCCCCTGAGGTGAGCTGGGGGGGGCAGGAAGGCTTGGGGCCACCCCGTCCCCCATAAGCTGGCGTGCAGGCAGGACTGGGTGTCGTGGGGGGCTCTTCCAGGACCTCCCCAGGCCCCCACCCTGCCGACTCATGACCCACTAGCCATAACAGTGTCCGCCCTTGTCCGAGGGACCCCCGTTTCAGGGCTCCCGAACTCAGGGATGGACCCGAGCAACCCAGCCACCGCCCACCTCCCCTCCCCTCCCCTGCCGCCCCGTGTCCCCTCCGTCCGCAATTGCCCGCGTCTGGGCTTCCAGCCCTTTCCAGGGGACTCTCCCTCCAACATGGCCCAGGAGCTGCCATGTTGGATGCGCCATCCCCGTGGAGGTGGGACGGGGGACCCCCACCTCCAGGGCTCCCCGCCCTCCCCGGCCCCCTTTCTACTCAAAGGCACTGACTGTAACCCAGGGGCTGGCACTGGCCTCCCCCTGGCCTCTGGCTCCCCAAAGGCACGGCGTCGACCGAGCCACAGGCCACGGATGGGCCAAGGTCCGGGGGTGTCCTCAGCCAGCGCGACCCCCCGCACCCCGCCCCAGCCCCCCAGGCCCCCTGCTCTGCATACGCAACGCCTAGCGTGGGACCCTGTAAATAGTCGCTGTGCTGAGCTGAGACCCTTCCTCCTGAAAGCCCGGGGCGCACCCCTCTCCGGAACCCCCCTTTCGCTCCTCGAGGACCCTCCTGTGTTCTGATTTTGGCTCTTTTTCAAAGGGAAGCGTTTCCAAGAAGGCAGCGGACACGGCTCCTGCCCGACAGGCCTCCCCACACACACGCTCACCCCCGGGCCTTCAGCCCCCTGAAATGTCTCAGGACCCCCCCTTGCGAGGGGGGGGTGGCAGGGGGAGCCCAGGGCTGGGTGCTGGTCGTACCCCAGTGTCCGGGGCACGCTCTGGGGGACCATCTGCGGAGGCCTAAGCAGACAGCCCAGGCCAGGGGTCCCCTCCCCCCTTCCCCGCCTTTCCACACCCACCCCGTTGCCAGTGAGGTTCTCTGTGGGGCAACCCCTCCCCACACCCCCCTCGCAATAAAACCAACTGAAAAATCACAGCTGTCGTCCTGGCCAGTGGGGGCGACCGGACATGGGACTCGGGGGGGGCGGGGCGGGGGTCCAAGGGCCGGTTCCCCCCTGCCGAGAACACTTGAACACGGACCTCCTTGGGAACTGCACTAGCCCTCGCCCCTAGCTCCGCACCCAGCTTCCGCCCGGCCCGCTCGGCCTTAACGTGCCCTGACCATGTCCTGCTGCCCAGTCCGGCTGCATGGGTTCAAGCCGGGACCCCCTCCCCGCCCGCCCGGCCCCTCCTCCCGCGCAAATCACATACTGTACATAGACGTGGATCGCTTTTATTTTTATTCTTTAAATTAAGGTCGTGATCAAGTGTTGCCAAAGATAACTGCTGAATTCTCGTATATATATATATATTGGACGGGAATGTGTTGGACAGTCAAAGGAGACAAAAAAAAAAGCTTTTTTAATTTAATTTAAATTTTTTTTTTTTTTTTGGTTTGGTTGTTTGGTTGTTTTTTGGGTTTGGTTTGTTTCTGGTGAGGGAGGGGTTGTTTTTCTTTTTTTTTTTCCTTTTTTTTTAACTGCCTGGTACAAAAAAAAAGAAAAAGAAAAAAAAGCGAAGCGAAATTGTTCTTTGCATCTTGGTGAAGCTGCGTGGCTGCGTCTGGCAAGTGTGTGCACGCGCCACCGATGCCAAGGGGCGAGGGGCGGCGTGGGGGGCGCCGGACAGAGAAATTCCCTTTGCTGCTGCTGCTCCCTGCCTTGACGCCCCCTCCCCTCCCTCCCCCGCCTTTTGAGATTAAGAGGGGAAAAAAGCAAAAAAGTCAAAAACGAAACAGTGAATGTAAAGTGCCTGAAGGCACCTCTGGAACACGGGTGTGGATTGTCCTCTGCCCCAAGTCTAGGTCCCGTGGACAGGCTCCCCCCCTCGGGCAGCGCGCCCGAGAGACACCCTCTCAGGCCCCCCTTCCCTGTGTCGCCCACCCATCTGAAGGATCACCTGAAGCAAAGGCCCTGGCGGGGCTATACCCTCTGCAGAGGTGGGAGGTTGGCCGGCCCCTTCTAGAGGCTCTGGGGGAGGGGCTTTGCACTGCAGAGACCCCTGGGCCTCGGTCAGGTGGAGGGAGCGTGCAGGGGCCAAGGCGGGAAGGGTGTGTCGCCCCCACCCTAGGGTGGGGGGTCTACCCGGCAGTGACCCAGGCAGCCGAGATTGTAAGAGGCGAGACAGGGAGTGGGGGCGGGGTGGGCAGGGAAAAAGCAAGCAGAAGAAAAAAATACATTTTTTTTAAATCCAGAAAATAGAAAAAAGAAAAAAAAAAAGAAAAAAATCCTATTTTTTGAGAAAGAAAGATATTTATATTTGCAGTTTTATTTTAAAAAGTTATTTAAACTGAGGAAACGGCCTTTCTGGATGGGGCGGGGGAGGGGGGGTGTTGGCTGGACATGGGTCAGGGTTGGGGCTCAGGCCCCCCCCAGACGTAACCTCAGAGTCAAGATTTGTTCGCACTATATAGATTTATGGGGGTGCAGGGCCATGAGACAGAGGTGGGCTAGAGAGCCCCCCAAATCCCCTCGGTCGGGCTGCCTGGAAACCAGAGTGGATGGGGGGGGCAGGTGCCGGGTCTTTTCCCCACGCCCGGGGGGAGGGCCCAGGCCCGGACACGAGGTGCCTTGGACTTTGGGGCGCCCGGCCTGGGGACGGGCGGGGGGGCCCACAGCACAGAGGAGACATTCCACAGACTGTATTTGAGTCTTTATAAAAGTGTGGGAGACTGCAAACAAAAATCCATTGATTAAAAAAAAATGCACTTTTGGGGGTGGGGGGAGAAGCTTTAAAAAGTAATTAAGAAAAAAAAGACAAAAAGATGATGAAAAAAAAACCCGGAAAAAAATCATTTTTTTCTTGTACATAAAAAAGAAAAGCCACTAAATGCAGCCTGTTCCGAAGCCCGCCTCGTCTGCCTGATTCTCACGCGCTCCGCTGTCTTGTTGGGGGAGGGGACGCCAAGGGTGGGTTTGGGGGCCCCTTCCCGGTGGGTCTGCAGGGTCCGCCTCTGGCAGAGGCATGGACAAGCCCCCCTCTTGGGGCTCTGTGGGTGGGTGGGTGGGTGTAGCTGGCAGTGCCAGGCCTGGGGGGGTACCCGTGGGGAGAAGCAGGCTCCACAGCCCCGGGGCTGGGTGCCACCACATTGGCCAGGGGACCCCCAAGCTGACTCCTGCAAGCGCATCTTGGGGAAAGGTTGGGCCCCTTTCTCCAAGAGGGGAGAGGGTCGGGTGTGTCCCCAGAGGGGACGGGGTGGGTGCCCGCCTGGCCCCGGGTGCCCATGAGCTGGGCCACAACCGTGAGGGGGCCCCAGGGTCCCCCCAGACACCACCTGTCGGTTTGGACCAGAACCACCTCCAGGGCGGGAAGGCAGCCCTGGCCCAGGACCACCACGAACCCGCTTCCTGTCTGTGGGGCTTTCCGTCCTGAGTCTACCTGGGGCCTTCTGGGTTCAGGCTGGTCTCACCCTCTGGTCTCCCCGCTTGGTGGAGAGGTCCCTCCCAGCCTCCTTCCGCAGGCCCAGTTCCGTGGATTTGGGGCTCCCTCAGCAGGGACACCTCCGGCCCATGTTTGGAGCCCTGGCTTGCTGAGTCCGGTGAGAACTCCGAGTGCCCTTTGGGGCACCTCCACTCTCAGACCTGTCACTGGCGCAGAGGCCCTTGACGGCTCTTCCCGGGACCCCCCTCCCACCAACACGCACACACACATCACAGACCCCTGGGTCTCCGGCGGCTTCACCTTGACTTTTTTTATTCGCGTTTTTAAAAAACAATTAAATTAGAATACAAATATTAGAAAACCGCGGCCGGCCGGACTGCGGAACCGAGTTTATACAGTAAAACTGAATATTCGCCCGACCACGGCCCGCCCCTCACTCGACACCTGAAATGATAAAATGATATTGCTTCCTGACCGGAGACATCTGCGCGTACAAAGGGGTGGGGGACAACAGAAATCATCGGGCTGGGGCAGGAATGGGGGGGCCGAGGGAAAAATACAAAAGAAAACAGAAACAAAACCCACACACACAGAAAGAGTAAGCTCCGTGCCGGGCGGAGGGCGCCTCCCGGAGCATCCGGAGCCGGTGGGCCTGGACCGGCTCGGTTCGGTGCCTGCGCGACCCCCAAGCCCCATGCCCGGCCTGGTCCTATCGGAAGACGAGATCGTGGTGGTGGTGGGGGGCCCCGCTGGGCAGGCCTGGGGCCCGTCGGGACGAAAACCCAAGAGCACGAAGAGGGGGAGAGGGGCCACCCCGAGTTGAGAGCGCGGGGCGGGGGCCCCGGGAGTGGGGGTGGGACAGCGGGCGCTGCCCAGAGGGAAGTTAACCTGAATTGGAATTTCCGAGGTAGCTGGCTAGAAAACTGACACCCACCCCCCTTCGCCACGTGGTGCCACATCCTGGGGGGCGCCCCCCCGCCCCGACCCCCCACCGCCCGCAGAGGGGGTGGGGGGGCCCTGACCACAAGCCGGGTCTTCAAAATACCAAGTTATTGCACTTTCAAAAAAATAGCTGTGGCTGCGCCCCCCTCCCGCCCTGCGCCCGCCCCGACCCCCCGCGACCCCGCTCCCCACCCCCGGACCCCTTCCCTCCCCCTCCGTCCCCCCACCCCCAAACCCACTCCATGGCTTCTTGGCTAAAACGCTTGGTTGCTCGGCGCTGGACTCGGGCTCTCTGCGAGGTGGGGGCGGGCGAAGGACGGGTGCGGGGAGCCCCCCGGCACCAGCTGGAATGCTCGACTGCGCGAAGGCGGGGCGGGGGCGTCCAGGGGCCGGAGGGGGAGGCAGCTGCGGGCGGGCGGCTGGGCGGCCGGGCCTGGGGCCGGAGTCCCGCGCGTTTCCTTTCTTGTTGCTTTTCCTGTAGGTTCCTTGGTGGTTTTTTTTTTCCTTTTTCTTTCCTTTTTTTTTTTTTTGTGGGTTTGTTTTTTTGCTTTTTTTTTCCTTTTTAAATCCTCCCCTAGGACAGTCCGGTCCGCGGGCGCGGGCGCTGGGCGCCGGGGCCGGAGAGAGGGGGTGTCGGACAGGGGACCGGTGGGAAGCCAGCTAGGATCGCGCGCGCCGCCCTCGCGCCCCCCGCGCCCCGCGTCTGTCCGCTGGCGCGCACGCGCGCGGAGAGCACCAGGAGAGTGAGTCCGGCCGGCGGCCGCGCGGCGCGGTCAGCAGGCCGACACCAGGCCCTTGGGGAACGGGCAGCGGCGCTTGGGCCGCGGGCCCTCCTCGTCCTCGTCCTCGTCCTCCTCTTCCTCCTCGTCCTCGTCCTCCGAAGACGACGAGCTGTCCAAAGTGAGGTCCACCACGTCGGCGCCGGCCTTGCCGTTCTCCACGCTGGCCCCCGCGCCGCCGCCCCCGAGGGCCCCGCTGCCCCCGCCGCTGCCGGCGCCGCCGCCGCTGCCGCCGTTGATGCTGGGGGTGGCCAGGAGCCCGTTGGGGTCCGAGGTGCCTGCGGAGACAGGGCGAGGCTCAGGCCGCCGATTTGGGGGTCCAGGTCGGGTGCCCCCCGGGAGGCCCCGCCCCACTCACCCAGCACCAGGATCGGGCACTGCGGGCTGCAGCTGCGCTCCTTCTCGGCGCGGATGGGGCACCACGAGCCGTCCGCCAGGAACTCGATCTCGTCCGCGTCCTCACACTCGCTCAGGATCTTGGAGAGGAGCCTGGAGGCCAAGGAGGGCCACGGAGGTGAGGGGGGCCCCTCCCGCCCTGCAGGGACCTGCTCTGCCCTGCGCGGGCACCCTCCAGACACCCACGTCCTCGCAGCAGCTCCGCAGGGCCGCCTGCACCACCCACCCCCCAGAACCCCACTGCACAGCCCCGCCTCGGCCTCTGGACAAAGCCTGAGCACCAGGAATGAGTGTCCATGCGGCTCTGCTCCTCCCACCGCAGGGCCCAGTCGGGAACTAGGGTGGGGGTGGGGATGAGGGCGTGGGCCGGGCCCTGGACCGCAAAAGCCCAGAGCCAGACCAGGACGCAGCTGCATCGACTATAAACCGAGGCCCCTTCCTCCAGGAAGCTTCCCTGGCTACTACCCTCAGCCGATGGGCTACGTGAAGTGGGCAGCGGGCATCCTAGGTCTCAGGGCTCTTGGCTCCAGTGGAACCAGCATCACGTTCCCCAGCCCGCGGGCTGACACCCGAACTGAGTGACCTGACCCAGGCCAGGCCTGGGGGGAGGGGAGGGGGTCCTGCGCCAGCCGCACAGCTGCCAGCAGGGAACAGAGCTGCTATTCAGACCTGGCCTCCTCCCTCTGCCCAGGCTGCAAGAGGACGGCAGTCAGGCCCCATCGGGGAGGGCCCGGGGCTCAGAGTGGCAGAGACCCGGGTTCAAGTCCCGGGTCAGTCCTCTACTGGCTTGCCCCCTGCTCAGACTCTGAGGACAGGTGTGGGCAGGGTACCTTGACCAGAGGGCTGCCTGGGGGGATGGGGCGTGGTCCGTGGGGGCGTGGCGAGGGTGGGCGTGGCCCTGCCCTGCCCCCCCCCCCCCACTCTGGGCCCAGCAGCTGGGGAGCGGGGCGCACCCACCCGTCGATGATGAGCTGGTCGTAGGGGGCCGGCTTGTCACACACGGGGCACATCCAGGTGGGCTTCTTCTCGTTCATCTGCAGGTAGAAGACAGCGTCGAAGCACTGCAGGTGGGCACACGTCTCGGCCCGGCAGGGCACCGACAGCCGCATCTTCACCAGCTGCGGGGCAGGAAGGGCGGGGTGGGGCGGGCGTGAGCAAGCAGGGCACGCCTGAGAGTTACGTCGCACCCCGAGTTGCGCCCCCACACCCCTGGCCCGGCCGGTTCCCTCACCGGGCAGATGAGGGACACCCGCACGCCCGTTGTGGCAATCTCGCTGTCGGGGTCCAGGCGCAGCTTCTCTTTGACTGTGGAGAGGAAGGCCAGCGTGAGCGGGAGGAGACCCTGCCCCCCTGAACCCCAGCTTTTCTGAAAATCGCAGGGAACAATCGCCTTCCCATGACCGGCAGCACCTGAGCATGGGTGGTGAGGAACAGGGGGCAGGGGAGCAGGGGGTGGGTGGGGGAGATAGGGGTCGTGCCTGCAAAATCCCAGGACACCCCCTCCCCAGGAAAGAACCCGGCAGATCCCCTCCGTGTGTGAAGGCCTGGGCTGGATGAGGTGGAAGCAGTCCCACCCCAGGATCTGCGGGCCTCACCCCTGTGGGGCACCCTGGAGGGAAGTTGGGGGCAGGGCAGGGCATGTTCCCGGTGGCAGCCACAGGGGGCACTTGCTGTGTCCAGGTGCTGGGCGGGGGCAGGGAAGGGGGACAGTGCTGGGTGGGTCCCCCTTAAAGCTCCCACCCCACGAAACCACGGGCGTCTGGTGCCCAGGACCCCTTGTACTCACCCAGCGACTTGCACAACTCCGGGTGCTTCACCCCGATCGTCTTCAACCGCTGCAGCAGCTCGGAGGAAGTCAGCTGCCGCACCAGGTACAAGGCCACCGAGTAGCTCTGCGGGCCGGAGGCAGGCATGAGTGCCCCCCCCCCCACAGAGGCGCCCCTCCCCCCACAGCTAGCCGGGCAGGAGGGGACACGAGGTGGGGAGCATGCTGGGGCGGCCCCCACTCACTTTGCCGTAGTTGCCCCAAGTGACGGTGATGCGGTTGGTGGCCGATGACAGGTACATGAGGTGGGTGAGGTTGATGGGGCGGCACGGCCGCTTGGGCTCCACGCCCGGCTTGTTAGAGGGATAGTAGCCCTGGGAGCAGACGGCAGGGGCAGCTCGCATGGGCTCCAGCTGCAGCCGGGCCACCCTGCCCCCGGCCCCCCCCCCACCCCGCACTCACCGGGACAGAGCAGTAGCTGTGGTTGACCTTCACGGCGATGTTGGGGGGATACTGGTCCTCCTGCGGGCCGCTGGCGTCCGAGTAGCAGATCCTGCGGGCACAGGCTGGACGTGGGCTGGGGCGGCCGAGGGCGGGAGGAGGCGGAGGGGGGGAGCCGTGGATGGGACAGGGGGTGTCGGGGCAGGGCTCACCTCAGGACCACCTGCACGGCCTTGATTCCCGGCTGCAGCTCCCTGGGTGAGGAGGGTAAGTGAGCGACCTGGCCAGCCCCCACTGGTCCTCGGGGTATGCCAGCCCCCCCCACCACTCCCGCACCTGGAATTTCGGATGAGCTCCACCTGCCGCGGCGTCAGGGCGAAGATGCACGGGCTCTCCTGCAGTTTCTCGCTGTTCTGCGGGACTGACACACACCGGCGCGTTGGCACCAGGAGGGCCTGCTCGGACACCCCCACCCACTTGCCTTTGGGGGGTGGGGGGACTCTAAAGTAGGGGGTCAGACTACTCCCCACACAGTGCTCTGAGGCTGCAGGGGCAGTGGGGATGGCGCAGCCTTGCCCGCGGCTGACCAGGTTCCATCCCTGGCACCCCGTCCGGTCCCCTGAGCCCCACCATGAGGGACCACCACAGCGCAGGGCCAGGAATCAGCCCTGAGTACTGCCAGGTGTGGCCCCCGAACAGAAGCCAACCCAAACCCCCAAAGTCACAGACCTGAATCCGGGGGGGGGGGGGGGCACCTGCCTTGATACAGCTGACCCAGGCTTGGTCCCCAGCCCCACCAGGAGGGACTCCTCTGAGTGCAGAGCCATGGGGAAGCCCTGCGCACAGCCGGGCGTGGCCCTACCCCACCCCCAAATAAGAGGGGGGGCAGTGCAGCCCGCAGAGGTGCCTCTACTACCCCCTCCCCCCAAGCTGGGGCAGACCCCGGCCCTAGAGCCCCAGGGGCTGGCTGTCTGGAGGCTACTGTCACACTTGTTTGTCTGGGCGGGTCCCCAGAGAGCTGAGGCCACCAGAGGCCCTGAGGAGGGTGGAGACCAGATCACTGGGCAGTGTGTGTGTGTGTGGGGGGGGGGGGGGGGCAGGGCGCCCCAGCGGGCTCAGCCCCTCATGGGTCTGGGGAGAGGATCTGGATGTTTCCTGCAGGGGTGGGCACGACCAGCCAGTTCCCAGCACAGTGGAAGGGTCAGGCCCTTGTCCCCCACCCAGGGCCGGCAGCTCCACAAAGCCCTCTGACCCTCCCCGCAGGGGGGCAGTGCCCGCCCCCTCCCTCATATCCATCCCTCCTCCCACTTTCAGCCCTGGAGGCTGTGGCCCTCCCTGCCCAGAGGCCTCTGGGCACCTCCCTTATCTGGAAGGTTCCGGTCCCAGTCACCCACCTAGTCCCTGCTGCCTTTCAAGTCCCCAAAACCAGCAGCCCGGAAGTAAAAGCAGACACAGCCGGCGACCGCCGGCCTGGCTGTGGGACCCGCGGGCACCGTGTCCCCATGCACAGTTGAAGTGATCCCAAGCAGCGACGGCGGTACCCTGCCCCCCCACACACACACACACCGCAGGGCCGCCAGGGGCCCCAGGGAGGATGACCAAGGCCACGGAGGCCAGGACAGAACCCAGGTCCTGAGGCGCGTCCTGCTCGTGACCACACAGTACCCCCCAAGAGCCCAAGTGAGGAAGGGGTGAAGCAGGCAGTGATCAGGCCCTGGATTTGGGGAGGGTCCTAGTGCCCCCACACCCCACCACCCAATGATATTCAGACACTGACGGCTGGAGCAAGAGCACAGCCAGGAGGGCACTGGCCTCGCCCGCAGTCAACCTGGGTTCAACCCCCGGCACCCCCCAGGGTCCCCGAGCCCCGCTAGGAGTGTGCCACAGAGCCGGGAGTGTGCGGTGGCCCCCAACCCAAAAGGAAAAGCATGTTGAGCTGGCAGGGAGCGAGGGGCACGGCAGTGTGTGGGACCCCCACCTGCCGCCACGCTGTGTGTGTGACACTGAAGGGCGGGTCCGGACCAGCAGGAGCCAGGGCTGAGCCTGCAGCCCCTATGGGGCCCCCCAACAACCTGAGCGGGTGGAAGCAGCTCTGCACTGCGGCCCCCCAAGCACCAGCTGGTCCCCAAACACACACCGGGTGCAAAGGCAAAGCTGAGGGGGAGTCCCGGTGGAGACCCCCCCCCACATCCATTCTGGGTCCAGCTCTGGAGGGAGACCGAGTGCCCAGCAGAGCCCCACACAGCAAGGAAGAAGACGGTCAAGGTCCACGGGGTGGCCAGGCTGTGGGGGACACTGGGGGCCCCTGAGTTTTGACCTGTGGGTGCCAGTGGATGGGGCACAGCCTGAAGGGGCACGAGGGTCACCAGCCCCAGGTCCTGCTGCCAAAGCAGTGGCCATGCACGGATGCATATGGGGGGGGGGGGATGGACACAGGCAGGGCCCCAGGGCAAAGGCGGGGCCGAAACCACTGAGAGGTAAAGGGCTGGACACCGGGACCCAGGCTGCATCAGAGGTGGCCCTGGGAACCATCCCGTCAGGCCCTTCCCCAAGACATTCTGGGACCAAGGCCACACCTCGCCCCAATCACAATGGCCTGCATTTATGGGCCCACACCCGACCATGGCCAGGCTCACAGTCACTCCATCCCAGCAGCTATATGAGAGCACAGCCTCCTCCTCCAGGAAGCCTTCCTAACTACCACCGCCCTACCAAGACTCAAGTTGGGGTACCGGGGACCTCCAAGAGTCGCCCCTGGGGCCCTGCACTTCTGGACAGAGCACGCAAACACCCCCCTCAGTCCCTTATCCATGCCTGGGGATCCCCTGCTCAGAACAGAGCTGGGGAGAGGAGCACTGGGCCCCACGTGGTGTGTGTGTGGTGGGGAGGCAGCGCGGTGACCACTGCACCCCCAGTCCACCACCTCGGGGCCCAGCACAGGATGCAGGGGGCGGGGAGCGACCCACGTCAGTTCAGCGACCAGCTTCCTTCCTTCCGCCGAGTCTCATGACGGCCTCCGCACCCCAGCAGGCCCCACTGGGGCACCCGCGGGCCCTGGGACGCCCCAAGCAGTGGCACCCTGCCCTGAACCGTGCCCCCAGCACCCCCGAGTCCCTCTGGGGTCAGGAAGCAGGTGCTGAGCCGTCCCTGGAACTCGGAGGCCAGCGCAGCCGGCGCAGGGGCTCAGAAGGGCTGGCGCGGGGGGGACGGGGGGGGGGGGGGGCATGGGGCTCCAGCCGCCCTCTGGGCCCTGTGCCGCCCCTCCCCCACCCGCATTCCGGTGGGTGATTTATGTCCAGGCTGCCCCCGACGCCTCCCTCCACACCGCCAGCCACGCTGACCTGTGCCGGGTGAGGGGCGGGAGCGAGGGCAGGGCCTCCTGGGGGCCCCCAGGCAAGGAAGGGGGGCCGAGGTCCAGCACATCCTGGGTCCTGGAACAATGACCGACCGGGGTCCTGCACCCAGGAGGTGGGGGGAGAGGCCCGACATAGTGCTGGGGGGCCCGAAGGGCTGGGGGGAGGCGCCTCTTTGTTCTGCGCCGCCAGCGCTAGGCGGGCGGGCGGGCGACTCACTCCCGGTGCAGACAGGGGCGCAGGCTCTCCCGGAGATCAGGTGACGGGGTCCCCGGGGGCTAGGGCAGAGATGCATTATGGGCTGCGGGGGCCCGGGCTCGCTCCAGCAGGAAGGAAGCCCCAGACGGGGCCGGGAAGGGGGCAAGGTCGCGGGCCCCTCCACTGCCCCCCTAGGCCCGGCGGTGGGGGCCCAAACAGGCTCCTCACTCAGAAGGGCCCCCAGAGTCCCCAATGACGACGGGCTGTCCAGCAAGCGAGGGCCCGGGGAGAAAGTGGGGTCACCTGGGGACGTGGCCTCGGGCAGAGGAAACCCTGGCCCTCCCCCCAAGTACAGCTGCTCAGAGCAGACCCCCGCCCCCCCCAGCCCCCTCCCCAGTCTCTCTCCAGGCCTGTGCTGGGGGGCACTCAGGATGCAGGTCTGGGAGGGATGCGGGGAGGGGAGTGCAGGGCCCCAAGCTGGCCAGATGATGGGACGGGGACCCAGCGACGGAATGTGGGGAGCCCCCGGCACTGCACAGGGTCCCCTGGGCCCTGCCAGGCGTGACCCCTGAGCTCCTCGGGGCATGGCCCGCCAGCACCACCCACCACCCACTCACCCGCCCAACGAAAGCAGGTACGGGGGACAGCAAGAGTGAGGGTGCTGGGGCGAGAGCAAAAGCACAGCGGGGAGGGCGTTGGCCTTGCATGCAGTCCACCGGGTTCGATCCCCGGCATCCCATATGGTCCCCCGAGCACCGCCAGGAATAATTCCTGAGTGCATGAGCCAGGAGTAACCCCTGAGCATTGCTGGGTGTGACCCAAAAAGCAAAACAAACAAAAAAATAAAAACGAGAAGAACGAGGGGGCTGCCTCCTGCTGCCCACAGGGCTGTCCTGCCCACCCGCGAGCATGCGAGGGATGGGGGTCAGTGTGGGGCGCTGGCGGGCGGGAGGGCCATGGTGAAGCACAGGAGAAGGGGAGAGACACCTCCGGGGAGGGGTGCGGGGATGCCTGGCGCGAGGGGACAGCAAGGAAGCCCCTAGGGAGTCAGGAGGCCACACAAGGCCGCGTCCTGCCCCTCTCCCCGGCACCCCTACTGAGCCATCCTGGGGTGCCCCCGGCCCTCCCACACCGGCCAGCAGGAAGCCAGCCTCCCACTGCCCCTGCTCTCTGCTGCCGTCCCAGACCTAGTCCTGGGGGCCAGGGCCGTCCACTCACCCAGCTCCGTGGGCTTCAGGAGCTCGTCCAGCATGTTGAAGAAGGGCAGCTTGACCAGGCGCACCTCGGGCTTCAGCGCCTTGGGCAGGCGGCCCAGTCCATTGAGGTACTTGCCGTAGAGCACGGGGAAGTCGAGGTTGGGGCCGGGCAGCGGCGCGCGGGCCCCCGCGGCCGGCCGCTCGCGCTCGAAGGCGGCCGAGTGCACGGCCAGCGGGTCGAGGCCGCGGGCGGGCGGCCCGGGCTCGGCGTGCTTCTTGGCGTAGCGCGTCTCGTACAGCTCCTTGATCTTCTTGAAGAGCTCGGGGCTGCAGTCGAACTGCACGAGCTGCAGCGCGCGGGTCACCAGCTCGTGCTTCAGGCCGCTCTTGCTGCGGCCCACGAAGCCCAGGAGCATCTGGAGGTCGGACACTCGGAAGCTCATCACCATGTTCTGGGGAGGGGCGGCGGCAGACAGGGGGCGCTCAGAGGCCAGCCCAGGACCCCCGCCAGGCCCCCTCAGTCCCTCTCTTCTGCCTCTCGGACCCTCAGTCTTTTCATCAGGGGCGGGGGGCTGGAGCGGGCAGGCGAGACGCGCCTCTGCACACGCTCTCCTGGGGCCGTGGCCACAGTGGACGACCAACCCCCCGGCCCGCATCTGGCCCCCTGAATGCCCACCGCCCCCCCAGCGCTGTTCTTTCCGGCTGGTTCCAGCACTTTCTTCTGTATGCCCTTCCCCTGCACACTCACATCGGTGATTTGGGGCAACATCATGGGGGGGAGCAAAGGGGGCGGTTTGGGCAGTTTGGGTGGGGGGCTGGGCAATATCCTGGCCCTCAACTCTGGTTCAGATCATCATAAGGAGAGCCCTGAGTGACAGGACAGCAGGAAGGGCGTTTTGCCTTGCAGGTGGCTGGCCGGAGTATGATTCCCAGCACCCTACAGGGTCCCGTGAGCCCCACCAGGAGCGATTCCAAAGCGCAGAGCCAGGAGTAAGTCCTGAGCACCCCTGGGAGTAACCAGGAAAAAAAAATGACTATCACAAAGGGCTAGAAAAATCGTACAGTGGGGAGGTCGCTTGCTTTGCACACAGCAGCCAACCCAGGTTTGATTCCTAGCACCCCAAAGGGTCCCCCAAGTGCGATCAGGAGTGATCTGACGACCGCTGGGTGTGGCCCCCAAAACAAAAAGACCATCATGAAAGTCCCAGGAGATCACCCGGACCCGGCCGACCAGTCAACCCCTGGGTCTGGGGGTGGCAGAAGTCCGTGACGGGGTCATGGCAACCAAGGTCAGAGTCCAAGGACTGGGAACATGTGCAGCCCCTCAGCATCGTCAGGTGGGACCCCTAAACAATCCCGAAACCAAAGTTAGCAGCAGGCAGCCCCCACCCCGCTGCTGTGGGGGCCAGGGGAGGAGAAAGCCTGCCCCACACAGGGCTGAAGGGACTTACGGGCCAGGCTCCCCGCAAAACTGGCCTGCACTACGTGAAGTGTGATGGAAAGAGAAACTTCCAGGGGCCGGAGCGATAGTACAGCAGGTAGGTCGTTTGCCTTGCATGCAGCCGGCCTGGGTTCAATCCCCGGCATTCCATATGGTCCCCCGGGCACTGCCAGGAGTAACTCCTGAGCATCGCGGGGTGTGACCCAAAAAAAGCAGAGAGAGAGAGAGAGAGAGAGAGAGAGAGAGAGAGAGAGAGAAGGTTCCAGCAAAGAGGGAACAGAGCCCATGACCAGCGAAGCAGGCAGAGAGCCGGGCCCCAAGAAGCGGCTTCTCCAGAGGGCAGGACCAGGGGGCGGGGGTGCTGAAGAGCAGAGGGGCTCCTGGTTGCCGAGTGGGACCCACAGATTCTGGGGGGGCAGAGGGGCGACAGCCCTGGCAGGGTGCTGGCGGGGCTGTGGTCCCGCAAAGGGTGAGTTGTCTGAGACACTCAGCACCAGGGCCCACTGTCCCCCACCCTGCAACACTTGGGGGTCGGTCCCTGCAGGAACACGGCGCCCCAAACCCACTATGACGGAACCTCACAGCAGGCCAGATGGGGCGGGGGTGGCACAGGGAACCCTCGGCAGCACAAACCTACCCATGAGCATGGGGGTCACTTGACAGCTAGGGGCAGCCTGACGGACGCCCCCCGCCACACCCCAACCTGCACAGAGTAAAGGCCTAAGGCCCGCAGGTGCGGAGAGGGCGGGCAGGGGTGCTGACCCAACACACAGAGACTGATCCCAGGCTGGACTCAGGGTGCTAGACCCCGCCCACCCCCCACCTGCGGCCAGATGTTCACCACTCAGGTTTCCCAGCACCTGCCACCAGAAAGGAGCCTGGCTCGGGCACTGCCGGGGTGTCAGGTGAGGGCCACCCCCCGCATCCAACCCCGGCTGCACCTATGTTTATAAACACCCACGCCCCACCCCCAGCCTCAGAGAAGGCGGAACCCGGACTGTGCAACCAGACAACTGCTGCGGTAACAGGTTTGGGGGTTCACACTGACACCCCCCAGCACGAAAGAATTCTCAGAGTGTGAATTGGATTTCCAAGTTTGTACCCGCAAAAAAGAATGAAAAAATACAAACTCAGCTCTTAAGAAGAGACTGAGAAAGTACCTAAAGGCAGTGCTGTGTGTTTGTGAGAGAGAGAGACGGGCCGGGCCGGGGGGAGTGTATTTAGGATCCCCAGTTACTGAAAAGATACTTCAAAGTGACAGTTTGAGGCTAGGGATGAAGGGGCGGCTCCTCTGGATAGGGGGTGCTATGGAGCCAAATCCCCCTTGGCACAGAGGCTCCCCAGAAAACGTGTCACCCCACAGCAATAGCACAGTGGGCCAGTGCTCTGAGTGCACAGGTGAACCGAGGTTCCATCCCTGGCACCTCGAAGACTCCCCCAGCCCTGCGAGGAGTGATCCCTGAGTGCAGCACCAGGGGTCAGCTCTGGACACTGCTAGTGTGGCCCCCAAACCAGAAAACAAATGAAATAAAAAGGGACCACCATCCATTTAGGAGTTAGGGGGCCCGTCTCTGGATGGTGCCTCCTCTCCAGATTCCCACACCGCCCACTTTGGGCCCCCCTCCCAAACCGGGGTGACCGCGGGGAAATGCCTGTTAAATAAATATCTCTGCAACTTTGTAACTGGGGCGGGGGTTGGAACCCGAGGTCCGGAAGGAGAGCAATGCGGAGCGGGCAGAAGGGAGCAGAGTCGGAGCAACGCGGGTGGGGACCCGCCTCCAGCCTTGAGCCCGCCTTGAGCCAACTTCTGGGAAGACAGACAGCACTGAAGATGCCTGGGTGGGTTTCTGGGACCTCACCCCGACAAGTTCACAAGTTCTTTGCAGGGAAAGTCCCCAGAGCTAGAGATCACCCCTGGAACCAGGCGGGCGGATCGATACCGGCAACTGGCAGGAACGCAAGGTGGAAGGGGGCGGGAGGGAGGGGCAGAGTGAGTGAGCTCCAAGCCCAACTAGGGGCGCAGGGAAGAGCAAAAGCAGAGACGTGGGGGTCTCCCACCCCTCGATGAGGTGCGCATGGGTGTCTGAGGGGCTGCAGAGGCCCCGGCACGGCGCGCGGGACCCTCACAGCTGTGGCTGCAGCCGCGGGGTGGTGCCGCCGGGCCGAGCCCAGACAGCTGCGGCAAGTCGGTAATCGGGGGTCGGAGCCCACTCTGACCACACCGCGCGGTGTCAGCAGGGGGGCGGGGCTCGGACGCCGACCCGGGCTGCAAGGCCGAGCCCGGGGTGGGCTGGGACCGGGAGGGACGGCATGCACCCCGAGGGCAGGCGCCGCGGAGCCCCAGGAGGCCCGCGGCGGTGGCAACAGCGGAGCGCGGGGGTGGGGGGCGAGGGGGGCCCCGAAAGTCGCTAGCTGCGAGCTGGCCGGCGAGGCCGGGGAGCTCCGAGGGACGCAAGAAGAGACGGGGCGGGGGCGCCTCGGACACTCCCCCCAGGCCCGCGGGCACGCACCCCGGCTGCGGCGCGACGCGGGGCCGGGTCGCTCGAGCATCGCGGCGCTCCGGGGGTGGGGGGTGGGGGAGGACCCCTGCCTCTGCCTGGGAGGCGGGGCCGGTCCCCGCGTTTCGGGAGACGCGGACCTGGATGCTCGTGCTGCGCTCGGCTGGTGCGCGGAGAGCCTTGCCCGCAGCCTCGCCGGGAGGCCGGGCCGGACCCTCGTCCCGAGGCGCCGGAGGAGGTGGGAGGACCCCGCCCCCGGCCTCCCCGCCCCCCGCCCCGCACCCGGAGCCCGGGGGGCCGGGGGGAGGACGAGGGGGGCCGGGCGGCGAGCCGTGGGCGGGCCGCGCCGAGGGTCCCCGGGGCGGCGGGCGCAGAGCTCGGCCCGCCGCCAGGCCCCCGCCCCTTCACCCGGCCGCCCGGCCCGGCGCCGCCGCCGCTCACTCACTTTGGCCTCCACCAGCTCCGCCGCCATCTTGGCCACCAGCGTCCCCCGCGCCGGGAGCCCCCAGCCGTCGCGTCACGTGACCGCCCGCCACTCGTGGGCGGGGCCGCGGCGGCGGCCAATGAGCGGCCGCGCGCCCTCCTCCCCCGCCGGGGCGCGCGCTCTTCGGCACTGCGCAGGCGCGCGCGGCCGCCGCCCTGGCGTCGAGCCAATCAGGGCGGCCCCACTCCGCGCCCCCGCCTTCCTCCCCTCCGCCCTTCCAGGCGCCGCGGCCGGCGACGGCCACGCCCCACGCTGGGCGCGTCTTGCTTCTTAAAGAGACACGAGCCTCTCGCGCAGGTGTAGGGTGGGGGCGGGTGCTAAGTCCCGCTGTGGGTGGGAACGAGGGCGTGGGGGTGGCGATGGTGGCAAGAGGCGGCGGTGACAACAATGCCGCCGAGTGGCTTAGATCCCAGCGCCGGGCGTCGCCAGGTGCGCACCTGGATTGCTGGATTGCTCCAGCCCCGCGACCGCCGATGCGTGCAAGTTGCCAGGGCGCCCTTCGCGCGCACATCCGGGGCCTGACGCTGCATCCCGCTGGCCTGACAAATGCGGAGTGACCCTTCCCCAGTTTTCCGCAGCTCGAGTGCTCTGTCCTCCCTGTTGCCGACTGTCCACACTAACCCCGCCTCCTTAGTGCATATCCTTTGGAATCCGCACGGACCCTGCTCTCGGGCGTTCCGTGACTTCCAGTACCCAACGGGCTGGGGAACCCCAACTTTTCTTGAATAACAAGCAGGAAGCGAGCAGCCCAGGGACATTCCCTGAGGTCATAATTCTCAGCCTGAAATGTGAGTGTCCCTCCCACCTCTTATCTCGCCCCCCAAACTCAGCGGTGGAGGTGAGATGGAAACTCCAAGGTGCTGAAGCTCCGGCTTGAAGGCTCAAGGCCCAGGTCCAATCCCCGGGGACCGCGTGCTATGTGTTTTTGTGTGTGGTGTGTGTGTGTGTGTGTGTCCCACAGCACCAGAGAGCTTCTTCTGATCACTACAGAGCTAGGAGTGACCTAGCATGACAGAGTGCCCCCTCACCAAAAATAAAACCCAAAAACAGCATGAAGAAAACGTGAACTCTTTAAGACAGACTTCAGTTCTGGAGTTTTGTTTTGTTTGTTTGGGGGCATATCTGGCAATCAATCCTCCTGGCTTTGCACTTAGGAACTACTCCTGGCAGTACCTGGAAAATGTATGGGATGGAATGCTGGGGATGGGACCCAGGATGACCGAGTGCAAGCAAACACCCTGTCCACTCCAGTCCCAGACTTCAACTCTATAACGGTACAATTCACCTGCCCCCACCCCCAATCTTCTGCCTGTGATATTCAGGGGATTGTTTGTTTTAAACATTTAAATAAAAAAATGTTTATGGACTGGAAAAATCCCACAACATGAGACCTGTTCCTTTTCTGTGCTCAGGAGTGACCCCTGTTGGAGCCTGTGCAGTCATAGGTGGACCTGGGATTCGAACCAGCATCTCCTACAGAGAAACAGCTGCCCCGTGCTAAGCAAACACTTTAGCTCCTATGCTGTAGGTCCAGCCCACCATGGTGGCATGGCCACAGTGGGTAGTCAAGTTTCAGCAAGTTTGGGGTGGCTATGATCCCAGCAGTTCAGACACTCTCCCTCTCTGCTCTCCTTAGTTGAATTTCGTTTTTGTTTTTTTTTATAAGCGTTTTGTAATAGTCATTTTGCTGATAGTTTCATGAAATTTGATCATTTCATCTTACAGCCCTGCCATTTTGAATGATTCCAGGTATGGTGATGGTCTGAGGGCTATGTTTTGATTTGTTTTGATTTGGGGGTTTGCTTTTGTTTGGGGGGCACACCCAGCAGTATTCAGGGCTTGCTCCTGGCTCTTTCCCTCTAAAACCCCGCCAGGAGTGATATCTGAGGGTAGAGCCAATAGTAAGCCCTGAGCATTGCCTAAAAACACAAAAACAAACAAAACCTGTGAACTAGAGGCTATTTTGAGTTCCAATGGACAGATGGGGTCTTAGGGCTTGAGCCATAGTCCAGCCGGGAGGGCAGCCTCCTTGCACGTGACTGACACAGGCCTCCCCTCTCCCCCAGCACTGCCAGAAGTAATTCCTGAATGCAGAACCAGGAGTAATCCCTGAACAACACTGGATGTGGCCTGAAAAACAAAAACAAACAAACTGGGGTCTTGAGTGGTGAAATCATTTACCCGGGTTACATAACAGAACGAGGGCATAAAGCACTGCAGCACTGCTTGGTGGGGGCAGGGGAGAGGGAACTCGAGGAAGGCACTTGTGCCAGGAGCTGACCGGGCTTGATCCCCAGCACTGCGTCTGTTCCCCTAAGCACCACCAGGGGTCACACCTGAGCACAGAACCGGAAATAGCCCCTGAGCACCACTGGGTGTGGCTCCCTCCAAGCAAGACAGACAACAAGGACCCAATAGGGTGGTCCTGGGTGAGGGGGACAGGGGACAAGTCTGGACTATATGTCACTTCTAGGGAATCTCACCAGACTTCCCCCTTTCCGATTCATTCTCGGTTTGTCGCATATGACGGATTGAGAATTTTTTATGTGTGGAAGGTTTTCAGCCACCCAATCTGGGTCATTTTTTCCAACAGCTCTGTTGTTACTTAGCATTTTTTAGCAACAGTATTTTTAATGAAGGTGTGAGCATAGTTTTTCTCTCTTTTGATTGGAAAGGGCCAAATAACCCCAACCAGAGCAATAGCACAGTGGGGAGGGCGTTTACCTTGCATGTGGCTGAACTGGGGTTCAACCCCCGGCATCCCATAGCATCCCCCAAGCACCACCAGCATCCCGGCATCCCCCAAGTACCACCAGGAGTCAGAACTAGGACATACACCAGGTGTGAGCCAAAAACAAAAAGCAAATAAACAACAAAAAGCAACAAACCCCAAGTAATCCCCTGCAAATAAGAAAATGTATTCTTGGGCGGAGGGGCAGCATGACAGTTATTTAGGGTGCTCAGGGATTACTCCTGGTGGGACTCAGGCGACCATATGTGCTGCCAGAGAGTAAACCCAAGCAAGTGCCCTCCCTGCTGTCCCATCACTCTGACCCCACATACCTGGTTGTGCTCAGGACTTACTTCTCTTTGAGCTCCAGGTTCACTCCTGGTGGGACATGCGAATTGTGGGCTCCGTCTCACTGACCGTGTATCTTGAATCATTAAAATGAAAATAAAAACCCAGGCCCGGATCCCTGAGCACAGAGCCTGGAGTAAACCCTAAATACTGCCCCAGAGGGCCCCGAACAAAAACCAGGGGCCAGAGCCACAGTACAGCAGGGAGCGCGCTGGCCTTGCATGTTGCCCACCCGGCTACGATTCCCATCATCCCATAGGGGTCCCTGAGCACCTCTAGGAGTAATTCCATATGGAATTCTATCTTTTTTGAAGGGGGAAAGACAGCATGACAGTTAAGTAGGATGCAGCAAGCCGCCTTTGGTGGAAATAGAAAAGCTACCTCAATGCCACTTCTGAAAAAATATTGATTGGAGCAAAGGTGGTGGCAGGGCCAAACAGTGGAAGGGGAGGAGAGAGACCCTGGAGGAGCGACAAACAGTGGAAGGGGAGGAGAGAGACCCTGGAGGAGCGAGCTGCACCCCCGACCTGGGACAGCCCCTCCCCTACCCCAGATCCGCCTGCCTCTGGATATTCTTCATGGGAAGCACATTTAATCCACCTGCACGTTTGGAACTGGCTTTCACTGTCTGCAACTCAGACATGTGCCTGCCTGTGTGTGCCTGTGTGTGTCTATGTGTATGTATGCGCCTGTGTATGTACCTGTATGTGCTTGTCTGTGCCTGTGTATGTGTGTGCTGTGTATATGCCTGTGTGTATATGTCTGTGTGTGCCTGTGTGTGCCTCTGTATTGTATGCCTGTGTTTGGGCACCTGTGTGTGTACCTGTGTGTGCCTGTGTGTATATGTTGTGCTGTGTGTGTGCCTGTGTATATGTGTATGCCTGTGTGTGCCTATGTGCGTCTGTGTGTGCCTGTGTGTGTCTGCATGTGTGTGCCTGTGTGTGTGCCTATGTGTATATGTGTGTGCACCTGTGCGTGTATATGTATGCCTGTGTGTGTCTGTGTGTGCCTCTGTGTGCCTCTGTGTTGTGTGCCTGTTGTGCTGTGGTGTGCCTGTGTGTGCCTGTGTGTATGTGTGTGCCTATGTGTGTGCCTGTATGTACCTGTGTGTGCCTGTGTGTATCTGTGTGTGTATGTGTGTGCCTGTGTGTGTTTGTTGTGCTGTGGTGTGCCTATGTGTGCCTGTGTGTATGTGTGTGCCTGTATGTACCTGTATGTACCTATGTATGTGTGTGCTGTGTGTGCCTGTGTGTATGTGTGTGCCTGTGTGTACCTATGTGTATATGTGTGTGCACCTATGCGTGTATATGTATGCCTGTGTGTCTGTGTGTGCCTGTGTGTGCCTCTGTGTTGTGTGCCTGTGTTTGTTGTGCTGTGGTGTGCCTGTGTGTGTATCTGTGTGTGTATATGTGTGCCTGTGTGTGCCTGTGTGTATGTGTGTGCCTGTGTGTGTGCCTGTATGTACCTGTGTGTGCCTGTGTGTATCTGTGTGTGTATGTGTGTGCCTGTGTGTGTTTGTTGTGCTGTGGTGTGCCTATGTGTGCCTGTGTGTATGTGTGTGCCTGTATGTACCTGTGTGTACCTATGTATGTGTGTGCTGTGTGTGCCTGTGTGTATGTGTGTGCCTGTGTGTACCTATATGTATATGTGTGTGCACCTGAGCGTGTATATGTATGCCTGTGTGTCTGTGTGTGCCTGTGTGTGCCTCTGTGTTGTGTGCCTGTGTTTGTTGTGCTGTGGTGTGCCTGTGTGTGTATCTGTGTGTGTATATGTGTGCCTGTGTGTGCCTGTGTGTGTGCCTGTGTGTGCCTATGTATGTGTGTGTTGTGTGTGTGCCTGTGTTTATGTGTGTGCCTGTGTGTGTACCTATGTGTATATGTGTGTGCACCTGTGCATGTATATGTATGCCTGTGTGTGTCTGTGTGTGCCTGTGTGTGCATCTCTGTGTGTGTGTGTGTGTGTGTGCGC